CTTTTCATTTCTGGAGTGCTCTGTGTCACTGTTTTGTATCTCTTAAAAATGCAAAGTTTTCTTTTTTTTTTTTTTTCAATCTCGTGCATAGATTTCTGTAAGTGTCACAGGCTTCAGGTCAAAAATCTGAAATTGAAAGGAGTATTCGAAACTGTCCAAAATCACCAGGTACTTTGAAACACCTTAACTTTCATGACATTTGATGAAAGACGAAATCAAATCTGATAATTAGGAAACCAAATCAGAATGTTTCTCTGTTTCTAACATATCATTTGGGGGTCATGCAGGTCATACCTGCATGAGGCTCTCATGATCTAAGTGAGACTGAGCTCTGCCTGGTACCTTGCTTGCTTCTTCAGAGAGCCTGGGAGGTCTCTTTCTGATACACCATTGAAAGGCTCCAAAAATCCCTTGCCCATGCACTGCTACCTTTGAGCTGATGTAATCAAATTTTTTTCATCAGTTCCAAGTGTTGAGAATATTCAACACACTATTCCTACTGATTTCTTAAATGCTCATGCTAATGCGTACTGAAAATGGCCAAGAGTGTCTTTTGATTCAATTTAATTGGATTTTTGCATAGCGAGAAAAGAATGCAAGAATTATGATTTACATCAATAGGAAGCTTCAAGATCAGTGCCAAACCCAAGGGTTGTTCTTGCAACAGGCACGTGCAGGAGGGAGAAGATAGCAGGTCCCTGACTAATCACTGGACACAGTCAGGTCTGTAGGGTGTTCCCTAGCAGTGTTCAAGAAACATTCAAGAAACGTGCAGGTGAGGCACTTAGGGCCGTGGTTTAACAGGCACAGTGTTGAGGGCTTATGGTTGGACTTGATGATCTTGAAGGTCTTTTCCAACCATAATGATTCTGTGATTCTCTAATTCTAGGATTCTATGACCCTTGTGCATACAGGCATGGGGATGGTACAATGCACGCCAGAGTCCCCCCCAATATAGCAGAGCTCTGCTATATTGGCAGATACATCATGACATGAAGTGAACAACGTCCATGAGGGGCTGAAAATCACTTACTGAATGTATTATTTTGTTTCCCCTAAGGCTATTATTGCACCTTAACAGCTTGGCAACATCATGATTTGTAAAGGCAGAGGATTATGAGTCTTCTCATTCAATTCACAGTAAGCAGGTAGTGGTAACCAAGCTAAAAAATACACTCCCATGTAAATGAAAGCTTACCTGTCAAAGAAGACAGCTTTTTATTTCACAAAGATGTGTTTTCATTTTAGCTAATTAAGTCTCATATTCCATCCTTATGCTAGGATTTCATTAAGTGCATATGTGAGCATGAAATGCATTTTACCATTGTTCCTGTTAAATGTGAGCAGTAATTCTTAAATACATTATGCTTCATCTTTTTAAAGAATTTTAACACTAGTGCTGTTAATGTAAAACAGAATCTTTGGAACAGCTGGGAATGGTCAGGCACTTTGGAGCAAGCATTTGGAACAAAAGTCTAATTAAAGGAATACCAAATTAAGATATTTTTATAAACAGTTTGGGCATTTTTGATGTTGTGGTAAAACACAGAAAGCAAAGAGAAGCCAAGTTAACTTAGCAAATGAAATGGTTTGATTCTGAAAGTGCACAGGTGAATGTTTTCCACGGTCCCAGCAGAGAGAAACACTGAATCGAACTGCCAAATTCTTACTGATATCTTTGGGAGCAGGATCAAGTCTTTAATTCATGAAAAACTCCTGTTTTGATTTTAGTGAGAGCTACGTGACTTAAATCTTGTTTAATGTTTTGGAAGCACTGGGTAATGTTTAAATCAAATAATAAGTTTTCTAGACTTTTAATAGCGTTGTTATTCTCAGTGCTGCTGTTACCTCAGGGTATTTGCTTTTGACTGTTAGAGCACTGTAGAAGTTGATACCAGTGAGAATGAAATTGGCAGGTTTTAAAACAGACTGTTTAGATCATAAACATTTTTAAATAGGACTCCATAAAAAACATGTATATTTTTTTAATATGAAATGTTAGTTGTGTTCTTGGCAGGCTTTGCTTCAGAGAAGTCGCATGCATTTCAAAGAGCTTTTTGCTAGCCAGCTCCAGCCAAAAGATGATTTCAAACCTATGGAGACACACAATTCCCTTTTCTCTTTTTCTTTTTTTCTCTCTCTTTTTTTCTGTAGGACTCTATATATTATGAAGTTGAAGTGTAGCCAACCTTGGGGTGAAAAATTCATGCAACTAGTATACAAAACAGTGGAAAGAATAGAAACACTGAATAAAGATGCCAGTACTAGTCTGGGCTTTAAGAAATACTGTTGACATTTTTTCCTTCAACAGTCTTCAGATCCTTCATCTTCAAATACTATGGAGTATCCTCTCAGAGCCAGCAGCATCAAATAAGCTCCCTGGAGAATTCCTTGTGTTTGCCCTGTGCTCACCAGCAGGGTGGCACTGGCAACTGTGATCCACTGGTGCCACAAAAAACCAAATATATAGTGGTGTGCAGAAGGTGAGGGGTTGAGGAAATAACCATAATAGAAGATATTAATGGAGTGGTTCTTTATTTACCACAATGAATTTATTTTTAATAACATGTTAACAGTTTTATTGTTATACATGTTTTTTCGTTTTCATGTTTGCTGGAAATAAGGGTGTGATGTTCGAATGTTTGCGATCCTGCTTTTGATTACTTTTTAAGTCTCTGTCTTTAGAGGACTTTATCTGTGCAATGTGAAGCTGTCTTTAGAGGACTTCTTTTATAGAATATGAACCTGGTGTTGGTGGAAAGTACTGTGTTCAGGTCTGTTCTGCAGGCAGAAATCTTGCTTCACCTCAAGCGAATATACATGTCTACATGTATACAAGTAGATACTTCCTGTACTGATCAACCAATATGCACTTTTCAATTATTCCAAAGCAGAACTTCTTTTTTTTTCTCCCTTAATGTGAAGGTAAAGCTTTCTTCACCTCAGTTTTGAAGACTTCTAATCTCTATGTACTCCATTGGACCTGAAAACTCTGCCTGCTTTAGATTGAATGGGGACAATTAAAAGCAATTTTACACATTGATCACTGATTAAAGTTGTTACAGTCTTGCACAGAAAAGCCTTATTCTGAAATATTTGCTTCATTACTAAGCCTTCCCCTGAAATATGCTTGTGACTGACATTAGAAGTGATTTTTTTCTTTTTGGCTGGTCCATGTTAACTTAATTCTTTGGGAAAGGAAGCTGTGCACAGCATAGCACTATAAGTAAATGAACTTCAGTTTTGATTTGCTCTATCTGTGATTTGCAAACCAAAAAAGACAGTAGCTAAAGCTATATAGAAGATCACTGCTTTAGAAATTTACCATGTTCTTCTTGGACTAACCTGGAAAGTTCAGCAGAGTAGAAGAATCAGAGTAGATTTCTGAGCTGATGCCTTTAACAGAGCTTACCGTGTTCTTCTTGGAGTAACCTGGAAAGTTCAGCAGAGTAGAAAGAATTTGAATGCTAGGATTAAAAAAAAATAACAAGAGAGTTTACAACAGTGGACTTTTTAGATTCTTATTTAGATCTTCAGCAAGTGTTATAAATTTAAAAGTAAAAAGTACCTACAAGATCCTATTCAAATACTTAACATACATTAACGTGTATGAGAGAAATAGGGTGCTGCTAACACAGAAGGCCAATGATTTCTGAGCTGATGCCTTTAACAGAGGGGGAAAAGCAATGATGTTAAGAGATATGTCCATGGAGATTTTTCTTACTTTTGGTAGTATGTCACTACTTTTCCCAATTACTTTAGCAAGAAGGACTTTGATTATCAGTGGAAATAGTATTTATAGTTTTTATTAGAGATGGGCATTTGCTGTACAGAATGTGTCTAATCCTCAAATCCTCTAGATTTATACCCGACAAAGTTGTTTTCCTTCATCTCTTCTCTCCTTGAGCTCTCTCCTCTCCTCCTCAGTATTTATGGGTAACCCTGCTTGTTTTCTCTGTCTTTCTCTGGTGCCACTCACAAGGAGTCACCTGTGCAGTTTACCAAGTTGAGCAAATGTTTGTTCCTGATTTATGTTCCCCTTTAAGTGACTGTCTGCTACGGCAATGGGAGGTTTTACCACTGCTCTATTTAGCACTGATTTCAATTTAAGCTGAAAAATAATTGTAGTTATTTAGACTCCAGCTACATTCCCCACAGGAGAGTAAAGGAGAGCAAAGTATAACATAGTTTCATGTCCTGCTGTATATTTGCCTCACAGACCTGCTTGACTTGAGATATGTGTGTTCTTGGTAGTCCGTATGTATGGGGCCATGTCATGGTAATATGCAAGAGACTGGCAACAAGAAGCAAATTACTGGGCGTTGCGCATGGGTCACCTAATGCTTGTGGTCTGTGCACTTTATTTTTGATAAAATCTAGGCTCTATTACCTGGATGAAAAAGCCAATTGGAGTTAGTTCTTTGACCGATGTTTGTAGTTTTTCGGGCTGAGTCTTTGACCATTTGGAGAAGGAATAAATGAGCCCATTGCAGTCGTGTGCAAGAGTACAGAGGTTAAACAATAAAGCAGAAACACATCTTCATGCTTTGCTTAAAAATAAAAGGGCTGGATTTCAGAAGGAGCTGTAAAGCTTTCAGCAAGAATCAGAGAAACACTATAGTAAAATGGAAAGCTGAAATGTGAAGAGTGCATGATGTGAGATGCCAGCTCAGCGCTTTCAGGATCAGATGCAGATCATGTTGCTCCAAGGAGACCACCCTTGGATATTCAGTGAACTATAGTAGTGGCCTGCTGCTTGGCAGTTTAAGGGACATATAGAAGCTGCAATGCCCCCCACACACCTCTGTCACCCCCTTGTAGGCTTTCTTAACTGTTCTTCACTCTGGGGAAAGCAGATACTATATACAAGTACTTCTGCCGGGGTGGAAAAATCACCTTACCATATAGACTACAGCTGCACAAGGAAAACAGCATAATAAGAGCAATCATACAATAAAGGCTCTTTACTGAGGGTGTTTGTTTTTTTTCTTCTTGCGTAGGTTCAACATGGGAGAAAACGTTACGGCAGATTGGTTTTGAAAGGTAAGCGATCAACTCGTTTCCTTAACCGTGCGAGCAGAAAAGGAAGAACTGTGCATGAGCAGGACTGCAGAATTATTTATTCTAACTGATCAAATGTATCTGTGGCTTCAAATGTATAGAGGAAGCTATGCAGTGTCATGCCCATGTATGTTCAGCTTCTTGTTTTCTGTCCTTTTTCTGCTGTATGCAGTCTGAAGCAATTTATTCACCACAATATGGACTTGGCTCTTAGGTCTTTTGCTGAGGATTTAGTAGCATGTTAGCATTAAAAAGGCAACACACTATTTGGGCAGAAGTCTTACTTATGAATGAAAATATTGCTCTTGTTCATATTATTTTTTCCACCAACCTTCTAACCTGTTACATATTAGTTGACAAAAGCAAATGAAGTTGAAAGAGGACCAAAGCTGGCAGAGAGCTATTCAGCATCAGAGGAAAATTCAGAATTCAGCATTCCTCAAGTGCAAAAGCTTCTTGCAGCCAAACTAAACCACAAGGTCATCATACCAGAAACATATGTCCCTCTTGGAACCTACACTGGGCCAAGCCCACTAAAGAGCAATCTGGCATTGAAGTTGAAGTGCTCAGTCTCATTTTCATTCTTCTGCAAATGGCAAGCAGAAGAATCCGCTCCCCATTCAAGTAGAGTTTTGCTGTTGTCCCTTAACAGAGTGGTTTGCAGCTGTACAGGGGTGTGCTTGAGTTACCGTTAGCTGGGCGATAAATTTTGCTCTTTGGGTTGTATGAGCGCATTCTGTGCATGCTACTTGTAGCAGCTTGATACACCTAACAGGCAAAAAGGCCTTTCTGAAGTTGATAAAAAGCCATATTAATCATGTCAAACAGAAAATGACTTCCCATCTTGCTGCCAGCTGCACAAAAAGCCTTTTTTTTCCCTTACCTTTTCTTTGCATAATTTTCATAAATGTTTAGACTTCTACAGTCTTCCTGACTGATGTGAACACCTTGCTTGTAGTTAAGATATAAGCCAGTTCTCTGAAGCAGAATCAGTCTTCACTATTCAAGGCACAAAGCAATTCCCAGGAGCAAAACTGATGCTTAAGTTTAAATATCCTAGCCCCTACCTGCAATTAAGATCCTCAGATCTTGACAGCAATGAATTAAAAGTCTTTTCTCTATCTTCCTTTTGTAGAAGGATTCTGCTTGGCTAATACTTCTTGCAAAAATAAATGCCTGACTTTCTCTGAAGACTGTCTCTGGTCTTCACCAGGATATGTGGCACCAGGAGAGAGAGTCCATCTTTCAATGTTAAACATTACTTCTCTAGCAATTGAAAGGCAGTGCTGTTTTTAACACTGTAAACAAGGTGGTACAGAGAAAGGTTTACATTTTGGTTCTATTTTCTCACATTCATAAATATCACTCTGAACACTGATTACATAGATACACTATATTTTGGGTTCTTAAAGAAAAAAAAAAGCAAAGCATTTTTGAACATAAAAAAACTCTGTGAAAATGTAGCTTGTCACTGGTATTGAGTTATCCTTTTAGCTTTACAGATTCTGATTATTTTAAAAGTAAAATAGTACAGAATAGCACTTTTCCTCCACCAAATAAAATGAAGAGGTCAAATGCGTTTCTGTTTAAATCTGTTGATACCAGTAGAATTGTTTCTGTAATGACCAACATTTTAATCTGAAAAAAAAACATTTTGTTGCTATACATTGTTAGCAAAACTTGAAAATCCATAATGAGATAGAATACTTATAATTTAGTAGCTATACAAAAAGGTTCTGAGGAAACACCAGTTTTTTTCATTTCATGTCTTCTGAAGAATCAAGAATATTTTAAGACTTTGATCAGATGATCACATGCAAATGTCTCTTCTACATCCCTACAAGCTTAAAAATGCCCCAGTCATATGGACAAGATGAGTGGCAATTTTCATAGTCTTTCGTAAGGTCAATATTTAATAAACCTGGATGAGTTTCTCATCAAATTTAATCTTTAAATGTTTCTGGCTTAAATTTTTAGTCTTAACAGGTTTTAGAAGTTTTCTTCATTAGTTTAGAAAACTAGCTAGTGCATTGTACTGCTTATACTGCAGGTTATATTAAACCTGTAGATAGTGTAAGGCATAATATTAAGCAGTTGAAAGGAAAACTGATAGAAAGGAGAAATATCATTCTGTTACAGCAATAATGGAGGAGCTTTGGTTCCTTTGGCATCTATGATTTGAGGTGACTTATTATCTAAGCAATAATCAGACTAGAAATTCCTTAATTGTGATACCTTACTGGGTGATATCCATTTAGAGGTAGGGCATTTCTAACAGCACAGAAAAGGAAATCATACATTAATAAAAATTACACACCAGGTTTAGTGCCATAGAGATTTTTTTATATATAGATTGTGCTTTTTTAGCAAGTTACATCTAATTTGATTGCTCGATAAGCATTTCATTCGTCATGCTGTCATACAGGTCTGAAGGATGCTACAGTGAAATATTGTTTCTTTCATTACTCTGTTCTCCCTTTAAACTGAAGTAGTATCACTTGCTGATACTGTTTGCCTTAATCAGAGTGATCTTCAGTAATGATAAAATGAATTGATACCTCAGTTCTATGGATTGAAAGTGCAAAGGGGAAATGGTCAGCTTATTTAAACTGATGGTATGTTTTATTTGTAGTGTATTATTAGGAACTTTCCTTAGGCACTTTCCAATTTGTGATATGTTTCAAAACAGCCAGGGTGATGAATCCATAGCACCTGTGTATGTGTAATGTATGCACCACATGAAATGTGGAGTATTCTTAGTAGACTGAATTAAACTGAGAAGCCTACCTGAGAGGAGGCAAATATTTAGAAAAGATTACTGTATGTATTACATTATTGACATTCTTGTTTGAAAAGAAAGACTGTTAAATGACACTTATGCACCCTAACAGATTGATTGTCATTCTGTAATTACTGTAATTGAGGCAGCACATTAGCAGTGATGGGATAAAGATTTGAATACACTTGAATACACTTTGCTATAGCTATAGAAGCAGAATTGTTCTCGTATCAGTTTACACAGAGACAAAAACAATAAATGAGTGGAAAAATAAGTGATTTTTTTAATCATAGATAATACTTAAATATTTTTCCTTGTATTTTTAGTGCAAGCTTTTATAGAGCATAAATCACCAAGTGTACAAGCAACAAGGAAATAAGCGGCTTTTGAAAGACCCATGAATTTCATAGGTCTATGTATAAGTCCCCAATTAACTCTTTTTAGCAGTATTCATTTTGTATCACGTGTAAGTACTTATTGTCAGTATTTCCTAAGCTTAAAGAATTGTTTCCAAACCAAACTAAGAGCTACACACTACCATATGTAGTACTTTGATACATGAAATGCACGTAACTTGCATTCATATAAACAGAAATCCTAGACTTGCAAATCTCTGAAACCGAGAGGTTATTTTGAGGATGCATCACTATATTTTTTCCCTGACTGATACCTTTTAGCAGGTTTTTCTTTCTGGCCACTGATCGAGATAGGGCACTGGACTGGATCTATTTTAGGTTGGGTTCTGTAGATCCATTTAATTATTCTCTGCATGAAGACTAAGAAAACATATCAACGGCAAATGTTCTACTATTTAAAAACATATCTCCTGCAAGCTGTTGACATAGGCACACCTGAGTCAGCGTCAGCTGTGAAATATCAGTACCATTTAAATGAATTGTTTGAGCAAAAACATTCTCATTCCAAGAGGAAGTGAGATTTTTAGATACACAGAAAGAAGGACATTCAAAGTCATGTCGTAAGAGGAATATGTCTTTGCTTAAAAACTGGAAAATCTATATAAAATGGTCCTCTTAACAACAACCTGTTTTAGAGTGGATTGAGGGATAGAGGAAATGTAGACACTCAGTTTGCACTGCAGAAAATTAGGTCCAGATAATACACAGTCATGTCATCACTACTTTGTGGTTAGATGATGCCTTATTCTGCAATAGCAGAGTGTTTACACTGCTGTTGTCTTTGTATCCTGAAAAACACGGAGACATCAAGAGGGCTGATTGCTCCGCTTTTATGTAAGCATTACTTGTGAGCTGAGCATGCTGCTTTTCAGTGTGAGATAAATTAAAAATGCTGGAGCTTGAGTAAAGTAGCTTTATACCCAGGAAATGACTAGACTTAAGAGCTTTTCAATTAAATGAAGTGTATCTGGGTTTGATAGATTTAAATGAAGGCCTTTTTGTTATTGATTGTTTTGTGAGACATTACAAATAAGCTAATTGCAACGTATTAGAGTAGTCATCACCTTGTCCAAGATGATCCTGACTGCAGTTCCTGACTGCAGCTTTTGCAAAACATTTTGGGGAAATGTGGAGAATCGTGAAGAACGTTCACTTGTATTCTGCTGTCCTACAAGAAGCAGGCTTTCAAATGTTACGTGCGTGTGAAACCTGCATGCCATGCAGGCTGTCACCTCACACGGCTTTTTTAGTAAGCAGAGTTTGCTTGAATACTGAAGAACCAAAGCAGGTATTTTTGTGAATACATAGGATGATTTTTTTCCCTGCTGATTTCCCTGTGGATGACCTGCTGATTATTAGTGCAGTTTAGATGGCAACCAAAATACTAATGAAATTGCCTGGATGGTAGTCAGCTGTGTTCTACTTCCTGCCAAGTGTGACTGAAAATGTGTTTCAGAAGGTGTTGTTCATGTTACTGGCTTGAGATTTTTCAGTCACGCATTAGACTCACCGGGTGGAAATGGCTCATCAGTGTATGAAACCTGTTAAAATTCAAAGGCAGTGAGGAGCAGGTCACCGTGGCCCTTAATCTGAATATCTCTAGTTAGGGTTCCCTGGTGATGGATCTTATGTCCTTGACTAGTAGATTCACTAGTGATTACAGAAATGTCTTCTGCTGATCTAGAGATGATCTAATATTTTTAAAACTTTAAATGACCTGTCCTGCAGACTTCTCAGCTTTTCTCTGCGTTATAATTTCGAATTCAACTAACTCCTCAGCTGCTAAA